ATGTTGTGTTGTTTTTGTTTTCTAAGATTGATTCAACTGTTCTTTGGAAGAGATTTTTGTAGGCAAGAATATATGTTTGTGTTGTTAATGTTTGAGTATTTTTATTCTAATTTAATTTATATTATTTGTTTTAATTTAATCTCTCATGCTTTAAATTTCTTAAATTTAGTCACACTTATTCACGAATTAACAAAAATTTAGAAGAGAAAAAAAATCAAAAATAGAAAATTTGAATAATGAAACCAAAACAAAATAACTATTTATAACGATCAATAATTTTAACACTATTGCGAATTCATACACTGATTAGGATATTGTTTCTTATAAATATAGTTTTTTTTTAAATTAAAGTCTTATTAATATAGAATCCATAATAGAATTTTGTTTTTTAGTATAAATTTGAAAGGGAGTTGAGTGGACATGGACAATGTATAGACAGAGGGATCTTTATTTAGTGGGTTTCCGATTTAGTGTGAGTATTTTGAATTGTGAAATTCTAAGTTGGGTATTTAAAAGCAAACTAGCCATGCCAATGATACCTATTTTTGCATCAGATTGGACATAGTCCCATTGGAAGGAGCCAACAAGTATAATCACTATGGTCCAAAGATTTTTCTATTTCTATTTCTATTTCTATTTCTCATTTCTTGGAAAAAATCAAATGTAGGTCATGTTTGCATACAGCTATTGGTCTATCTTTTTTTCAACAATTTTTTCTTCTCATATATACACTTAATTATTACTTATATAATCTTGAACTGAAAAAAAAAATATACTTGTTTGTTATATGATCCTTTTGTTTTGACAAATGAACTCTCCCTTACGTCAGGCTTTCTAAATACTGAATTAGATAACACAAAGTCTCCTCCAAAATTTTGATTAACGAATATACGAAGTAATGGAGAAAAATCCACTAAAAATAAAATACATCCCTTGAATGAGTTTCAAAGGAAAACAATTTATCTCCGTAATATATGTGTGTGTGTTGAAAAAATAAAAATAAATCAGTCAACGGTCCAAGGTAGGACTAATTACAATATTTTAAGAAAAGTGAAAATTAAATAATAGTGGGTTTGTGTTGTTCGTCTTCAAAAGTCAAAATTCAACTGTGTTGTTGTTTCCCCTTGGTTATAAGTTTCTTCTCATTTCTCCTCTCTGGTCATCTTCTGCATTACTTAATTACCCATTTCAAATTCAAATCTTCTTACACATCTCTCATGGCTTCTCCTTCTCCTTCTCCACTTCATCTTCTTCTAATTCTAGTTCTTGTTCTTTCACCATCCTCTACCATTGCTCAGCCCCACGTAAACATAACTTTGGGCTCTTCTCTCACCGCACAAAATGACAATTCCTTCTGGTCCTCAAAATCTGGTGACTTTGCTTTCGGCTTCTTGCAATCTCCAACTGGCGACTATTTGTTGGCCATTTGGTTCAACAAAATCCTCGACAAAACTGTGGTTTGGTCCGCTAATCGGGACAACTTGGTCCCTGAAGGATCCAAAATTCAATTCACCATACGCTCTCAGCTCGTGCTCAACAACCCTCGAGGCGAACAAATATGGACTGCCCATTTGGCAGTCACCAATCAATCAGTTTCCTATGCTGCCATGCTTGATACTGGCAACTTCGTGTTGGCTGCCGCCGATTCTAAGATTTTGTGGCAGAGCTTCGATGACCCTACGGATACGATTTTACCATCACAGATTGTTAATCAGGGCGGAATTCTTGTTGCCCCTTATTCAGAAACCAATTACTCGAGTGGAAGATTTCTTCTCTCCATGCGAAGTGATGGGATTTTGGGGCTCTACCGCAGAGCGTTCCCTTTGGATACAATTGGTAAAGCCTATTGGGAAACTAACACCGAAGGCTCTGGGTTCCAGCTGGTCTTCAATCTCTCTGGTTCCATTTATCTCATCGCGAAGAACAAAACCATTCTGAAAACTTTGACATCGAATACACCATCTCCTCAAAATTTCTACCACCGGGCGATTCTTGAGCACGATGGGGTTTTCAGACAATATGTTTACCCCAAATCCAAGATGGGAAATGGGAGTGATTCGTCCTGGTCTAATGGCTGGTCTCAAGTGTCGAACCCCACGCCTGGGAATATTTGTACCAGTTTTTATGATGGTGCGGGAAGTGGGGCGTGCGGGTTTAATAGCTATTGCAGGCTTGGGGATGATCAGAGGCCCTATTGCACTTGCCCACCGGGCTATGACTTGCTTGATCCTAACGATGTGATGAAAGGTTGTAAACCCACTTTCGCTCTTCAGAGTTGTGATGAATCGCTTGATGAAACCGATGACTTCCAAATTTCCCCTTTGGAGAATACGGACTGGCCACAGTCTTATGATCTGGAGCATTACAAACCGGTAACAGAGGATTGGTGCAGAGCCCAATGTTTGAGCGATTGTTTTTGTGTTGCTGCCATTTTCAGAGGCGCGGATTGTTGGAAGAAGAAATATCCTCTTTCCTTCGGGAAAATGGATCCTGGCGTCGGCGGAAGAGCCCTCATTAAAGTAAGGAAGGATAACTCTACTTTCAGATTACCTGATCATCTTGTCGAGAAAGACAAAACTTTGTTGGTCGCTGGGTCAGTTCTATTGGGCACTTCTGTGTTTCTAATCTTCATCCTAATGCCGGTCACTTTTCTGCTTGTTTACCGATTTAGTAAAAGGCGATTGGTGGGTGTTAAAGGAAAGTCACAAGCACTGGGTATGAACTTAAAAGTTTTTAGCTTTGAAGAGCTAAACAAGGCCACAAATGGATTCTCAGAGCAGCTGGGGAGCGGTGCTTTTGCTACTGTTTACAAAGGGATTGTTGATTCTATGGACAACAGCTTGGTAGCTGTTAAAAAGTTGGACAATGCGGTGAAAGAGGGAGACCAAGAATTTAAAGCTGAAGTGAGCGCTATTGCTCGAACAAACCACAAAAATTTTGGTACGATTGCTTGGTTTTTGTAACGAAGGGCCACACAGAATGCTGGTGTATGAGTTCATGCACAATGGGTCTGTCGCGGATTTTCTTTTCGCGCACTCAAAACCAAATTGGTATCAGAGAATTCAAGTGGTTGGGGGAACTGCTAGAGGGCTGTGTTATTTGCACGAAGAGTGCAGCACTCAGATCATTCATTGCGACATTAAACCTCAAAACATCCTGCTCGATGACTCTTTGGATGCACGAATATCAGACTTCGGTTTGGCCAAACTGTTGAAAAAGAACCAAACTCGAACCATGACTGCAATTAGAGGAACCAAAGGATATGTGGCTCCAGAATGGTTCAGAAACCTTCCCATCACAGTGAAGGTTGACGTTTATAGCTTTGGGATTCTGTTGTTGGAGATGATCTGTTGCAGAAGAAGTTTTGAACTGAAAGCAGAGAATGCAGATGAAATGGTGTTGGCGGATTGGGCTTACGATTGCTTCAGAAAGAGGAGAATGAAGATGTTGGTTGAAAATGATGAAGAAGCAAAGAATGATATGGAAAGGGTGGAGAAGTTTGTCATGATTGCAATTTGGTGCATTCAAGAGGAGCCATCTTTGAGGCCTTGTATGAAGAAAGTTGTACAGATGCTTGAAGGTGCCGTTGAAGTTTCAATTCCGCCCGACCCATCTTCATTCATTAGCACAATTCATTAATCAATCACTCCTAATAAAATTGTGCATTAAAATTTTCTTTCATGAATAATTCTTAATATATGTCCACTAACGACTAAGATTTTTATTTTCTTTTCTGTCTGTTGGTCAACTTAAGCTATGGATGATTTTAAAATTATTTCACAAATCAAAGGAGTGGATGGCGGCTCTTGAAATCTATTATCTAATACAAGACAAACTTGGTTAAAATCTCATCGACACAATAAAAAGAAATGTAATTCTGTCTTTTATAATATTTTGAATTATAATTTTAGTTTAACAAATATGAGCGGGGGTGAAGAAGAATAAACCACCTCAGCAATATTGCGTTTGAGGTTGGAACTTGGAAGACGGGATTCACTTTTTCTTTATAATATTAATAGATCCCATAACTCTATTCAAAGATTTATCTACAAATTTTGTTAGTGCAACAAATTATTGCGATAAAAAATTTGTATCATAGGTTTACTCTTTCTTTGTTTACTTTTACCACTAAAATTTTTGGTATCAGATGATGTGACTTTATTATAAAATATTATAAATTTATGTTTAATTTAATTTAATTATATTAATCAATATCAATAAAAATTGTTGTTATTAAATAAAATAAATTGTTATAGTAAAAAATATTTACTTTCCATTCAATAAAATAAATCAAAATATATTATTATTTTAGTTAAAAATAATATTAACACACTTTTAGTTAATATATTCATAATTAGTTAAAAATAAAAAATAGGTATTCTAGTAATTTTTATACATCTCATTGTTTTTATGATTCTAGATAATTTTAGTAAACGACATCAATAAATTTTTATTTCAATTATAAAAAACAACAATTTGATTGCAATGAATTTTCTTTTCAATTTCTTATATTTAGACTTCGGGCAAGTAAATGGGGCACGAATATATAAGTCCAATCTTTTGTTACCCAAAGAAGAAGGTAAACTGCATATAGAATTTTTAGGATTTATTTATTTGAGTTCTAACCGCAAATTGAAATTGAATTATATATTTCTCCACTGGAATCTGCATCTAATCAATTTGTAAGATGTAAACTTAGAAAGAATGTTCCCAAGTCATAAAAATATAGGAAGAGTAAGTGGATATATTGCTTGCCTAGGTGACGTGAGGCCATTAAAATAAAATATCTCCGCTACGGAAACTCGGTTTAGTAGATAAAAAATAATAATGATAATTCGAATCCAAAAATTTTTGTATACAGCTGAAATTACAAGGCAGTACTTTATTCCTGTGATTGAGTGGTCAAATGGGTGGTGCCTTACCCGGTTAACACCTACCCCGCGTGGAAATTCGGCCTATCAATTGTTTGGCTTTAAAGACTTTAAAATTGGAAGTCAACAGCGAGACGACGCCACCGCTTTGTCATTGGAATTCCATTTTGTTCATAAATTTCCTCTGCAAGCTCCAACCATTCTGCCCCTGAAATGGAACTTTGAATTCCCCCACCTTGAGCTGCCCTCTTCCACTTCTCTCATGGCTTCTCCCTTGGGGCCTATTCTTCTACTTTTGCTTCTTTTTCTTTCCCCATCCTCTATCCTTATCCTTGCTCAGACCTACACAAATGTAACTTTAGACTCCTCTCTCACTGCTCGTACTGATGGCTCCTTCTGGCCCTCTAAATCTGGTGACTTTGCCTTCGGTTTCCTCCAATCTGGAGATGGAGGTGGAGACTATTTGCTGGCCATTTGGTTCAACAAAATTGCAGAAAAAACTGTGGTTTGGTCCGCTAATCGGGACAAATTGGCACCTGGAGGATCCATAGTTTCACTTACCCGCAGTGGTCAACTCGTGCTCAGCGGCCCTCGAGGTGATCAAATATGGAGTGCAAACTTAGCAGGTGGCAACCAAACAGTTTCCTACGCTGCAATGCTCGATAACGGCAACTTCATTTTGGCTGCCAGGGATTCTGAAATTTTGTGGCAAACCTTCGATGTGCCTACCGATACCATTTTACCATCACAGACTGTTAGTCAGGGCAAAAGTCTTTTTGCTTCTTATTCACAAACCAATTACTCCAGTGGAAGATTTCAACTCGCGATGCAACCTGATGGGAATCTGGTGCTTTACCCCACACAATTCCCCACAGATACAAGAAGCAGGGCTTATTGGGCAACTGCCACAGTAGGCTCCGGCTTCCAGCTCGTCTTCAACCTCTCTGGTTCCATTTATCTCATCGCAAAGAATGAAACCATTTTGGAATTTTTGACATCAGATACTCCACCGACCCAGAATTTCTACCACCGAGCGATTCTCGAGGATGATGGGGTTTTCAGACAGTATGTTTACCCAAAGATTGGTAGTGGAAGTAATTCGTCTTGGCCTAAAGCTTGGTCTCAAGTTTCGGACTCCACACCTTCCAACATCTGTACGGCACTTAATGATGGTACGGTAAGTGGAGCGTGCGGATTTAATAGCTATTGTAGGCTTGGGAATAATCAGAGGCCATATTGCACTTGTCCACCGGGCTATGACTTACTTGATCCAGATGATGTGATAAAAGGCTGTAAACCCAAATTTGTTTCTCAAAGTTGTGACGCATCGTTTCCTGAAGCTGATGACTTCGAGTTTTCCCCTCTAGAAAATGCGGACTGGCCTCAGGCTGATTACGCCCATTTCCAACCAGTAAATGAGGACTGGTGCAGAAGCGAATGTTTGAGCGATTGCTTCTGTGTGGCTGCCATTTTCAGAAATGGGGAATGTTGGAAGAAGAAGTTTCCCCTTTCCTTTGGGAGGATGGATTCTAGCGTCGGCGGAAAAGCTCTCATCAAAATCAGGAAAGACAACTCTACTTTCAGACCTTATAATCCCTCTGATAAACATACCAACAAAACTAAGTTAGTCGTTGGATCAGTTCTGTTGGGAAGCTCTGTATTTCTAAACCTCACCTTACTGCTGCTCACCTTTTTGATTGGCTACCGATTCAACAAAAGGAAATCAAAGGTTCTTCAAGGAGACCCGTTAGCGTTAGGTGTGAATTTGAGGGCTTTCAGCTATGAAGAGCTAGACAAGGCCACGGTCGGATTCACAGAGCAGTTGGGAAGTGGGGCTTTTGCTACTGTCTATAAAGGAACTCTGGACGACAACAACCTGGTGGCGGTTAAAAAGTTGGACAATATGGTGAGAGAGGGAGGAGAGCAAGAATTTAAAGCTGAAGTGAGCGCTATTGCTCGAACAAACCACAGGAATTTGGTTCGTTTGCTAGGTTTTTGCAATGAAGGAGAAAACAGAATGCTGGTGTATGAGTTCATGCATAATGGATCTCTTGCAGATTTCCTTTTCGGGCCCTCAAAACCAAATTGGTACCAGAGAATTCAACTAGTTCTAGGAACTGCCAGAGGGCTATCTTATCTACACGAAGAGTGCAGCACCCAGATCATTCATTGCGATATCAAGCCTCAAAACATCCTTCTAGATGACTCTTTTGCTGCACGAATTGCAGACTTTGGTTTGGCCAAACTTTTGAACAAAAACCAAACTCGAACCATGACTGCAATTAGAGGAACCAAAGGATATGTAGCTCCAGAGTGGTTCAGAAGCCTCCCCATTACTGTGAAGGTTGATGTGTACAGTTTTGGGATTCTATTATTGGAGATCATCTGTTGCAGGAAGAATTTTGAACTAGAAGCAAAAAATGAAGACGAAATGGTGCTAAGCGATTGGGCTTATGATTGCATGAGAGAGAGGAAAGTAGAGATGTTAGTAAGAAATGATGAGGAAGCAAAGAATGATATAAAGAGGGTGGAGAAGTTTGTTATGATTGCAATTTGGTGCATTCAAGAGGAGCCATCGTTGAGACCCTCTATGAAGAAAGTCATACAGATGCTTGAAGGTGCAGTTCAAGTTTCAACTCCCCCTGACCCATCTTCATTTATCAGTACAATTCAGTGACACAACTTTCTTCTATTATGTGAAAACATTGTCTCTTCTCGCATATCATATGAATAACCCAATACAATTGTCCAATACAAAATGTCTCAGCTGCACTTTGTGGTATAGTTTAGACTAGCCTCAATTGTCAGTCATATAGGACCATCTTGTCTTGCCTCAACTCTCAACTCTGTTTGTTTTCGAAGAAGAGAAGAGCTTCAATACCGCCAAGGCTCCAAGCCAACCCTTTCTCTACTTTGCTTTTTTTGTCATTTAGTTCCTTTGGGAAGTAGTTCTCTGACCGTCCCACTTTTATGATTTTTCAAGTTTCTAGATTCAAATAAATACTACATTACGTATAATTTGTAAACTATGTATAATTTAATTAAATTTGAATCCTTCAAACAAAATGACAATATCCTGATAGGATATTAATTTAACCTAAAGATTGTTTTTAACAAAACGTATTGTGAGAGTTGACCGTGTGGCTTGAGACAAATGTATAGTCCTTTTCACAGTTGGTTGCAATAATCACAATCACAACCGCGTGAAGGATAAATAAAAATTTTCATAGTTGGTTTAATCCATTCCCTTTCTGGGTTGGTTTGAAGGACAAAGGGAGCTTCTTTGCCTTACGGTTTCTCCACACAAATAGTTCCTTTATTGGGAAAGCAACGCTGAAAGTGAATGGAACGATTTTAAGAACTCTACCTTCCAATGATTCGTCTCCTTCAACTAAGGGTCTTTACACTCGAGCAATTTTAATTCCATACCTTCCTATATCTGTGTGAGACTAAACGGTGGCTTTGGAAGTGGAGCATGTGGATATCATAATAATAGCTACTGTAGTAATGCGGGCGATCAGAGACCACTTGCAATTGCCCACGAGGCTATCTATGACAACCTCGATCCAAATGATGTGATGAAAGGTTGCAAACCAAGTTTCATTTCTCAAAGTTCCTGAAAGCCGATGCCTTTGAATTTTTTTCCTACTGGCCTGACTCTGATTATGAGGCTTTCTCTGGAGTAATTCAAGGAAGTTAGGGACAAAACTTTGATAGTCATTGGATCGCTTCTATTGGGCAGTCCTGCATTTCTAATCTTCATCTTTCTGTTGATCACTTTTCTGATTGTGTACCCATTCAGTATAAAAGGAATCGAAGGTTATTGTGGAAAGTCAGTAATCGAAATTAAGAGTTTTCAGCTATCATCAAGAGCTTAACAAGGCCACAGGTGGATTCACAGAGCAGCTTGGAAGCGGTGTTTTTGCTTTTTGCTTCTTATTGATCTGTCCAACAACTTCTTTGTGGCTGTGAAAAAGTTGGACAATATGGTGAAAGAGGGAGACCAAGAATTTAAAGCTAAAGTGAGCGCCTATTGCTCGTACAAACCACAAGAATTTGGTGCGATTGTTCGGTTTCTGCAATGAAGAAACCACCCAGAATACTGGTGAATGAATCCGTCCATAATTCCTAATGGGTCCATGCATGTATGAATCCAGTCAAACTCGATCTAGGAATGCAATTTAGAGGAACTAAAGGATATATGTTTATAGCTACGGGCCTACGGCATTTTGTTGTTGATCATCTGCTGCAGAAAGAGTTTGTAAACAAAAGCAGAGAATGAAGATGAAATGGTGTTGGCAGATTGGAGTTAAGATTTCTTCAAAGAGAGAAAAGTGGAGATGTTAGTGGCAAATGTTGAGGAAGCAAAGAATCATGACACGAAGAGGGTGGAAAAGTTTGTTATGATTGCAATTTGGTGCAATCCAAGAGAACCCATCGATGAGATCGTCCATAAAAAAAGTCATACAGATGCTTGAACACGATGTCGAAGTTCCTAAGATCCATCTTCATTTATCAGCGCGATTTAAATATGAACTTATCAGAACTTGAATAAAAAATGCACATAATAGGGCGAACATCAGTTCGATTATTTTGGTTTTTGAGTGAACCGAGATACTCTGTGAACCAATGTAGAAGATTGAACATAATCGATTTCAACCAAACCGGTTGATTCGATTTCTTCTATTCAGCTGCATCGGGTGGGGAATGTATCAAATTTTGGAAACGCGTAGCAGAGAAAGGGGAAGATAGGGATTGAGAGAGTACCTACTACTGCTCACTGCTGATTACGAAGAGAATCGAAGGGGGCGACGCAACGAAGTCGAAAATCGAAAGAGGAACGGCTCCTTTTTTCTTTTTCCTTTTTTTCTTCTTTTAATTTTATTTCATATTATTATTATTATTATTATTTTTTATAAACTAGAGATGGAGTTGGTGTTGGGCTGGGCTGTGTAGTTGGGTATGGGATTGGGCTGTTGGACCGATACGTAAGAGTTGCAGCTGCGGTTCGGGTCTGTCTGCTCTCTTTACACTCAAAATTTTCAATTTTTTTTAAATATTTGAAATAAAAAATGTTGTTGGTTTCATAAAATTGGAATAAATAATAAAATTTACTTTCTTAGTACAAGAAATTGGGGATACAGGAGTTTCAATCTCATCAACTACCATATATCACACAATTTTAATTAACAAACGCTTAAAATTAGGTCAAGAAATATTTAAAACATAACATTTATTGACCAGCAAATTTTTCCTTTTTTTTTAACAACCATTGACCGGCAATAAAAATTAAAACCCCTTGATGTCAAATTTAGTCTTGAAAATTTTGAATACGTCAAAACATAACATTTATTACTATCACTAAAATTATAGTGGATAACAAAAACCTTTTATATTTCAAAATATGTCACATGTTTTCAAAATTTTCAAATATAGTAAAAATTTCACTTATATCAGATACTCATATCAATAATATATTAGATACTTATATCAATATTATATTAAATACTCGGTATACTAGATATACACCACATACATATTGTACAAATACTCATATAAATAGTATATCAAATGTATATTACATACATATTGCAAGTATATCAAACACTCGTATCAGTAGTTTATATATATATATATATATATATATATCAGTAGTAAGATATATTGTAGATATATTACAATTTATATCATTTAGGTAAAATTGTCATTTTAAAATTAGACTTCCATTTTAAAAAAAAAATTTGCTATATTAAAAAAAAACTAAAATGTGATTACTATTTTACTAATTTTATTAAATATTTTTTATCATATTTACAATTATAGTTTGTTTATTATTGTTATTATTATTATTATTATTATTTTTTCTAGCATAGTAAAATTTATTATTATTGACCACAATTTCCCACGTGTTCCAGTCAAGCTCCAACTTTTCAAAGTCTGCGTTTTTCTTTATTATCATTATTCTTAAAAAAAAAGGCTCAAAATAAATGGAATAGTCCACCTTGGAAAGAGAATAATACTTAGGTCACCACACCTATAAAAGTTATTAAAAAAAGAAAAGAAAAGAAAAACTAATTTTCGGTCCGTACTATTCCTTTCATCATATTTAACTTCACATTGCTGTACTCAAAAAAAAAAAAAAAACCTTCACATTGCTTCTCAACTATATAAAAAACTTGCTTCTTTGCCTTGCCTTCGTCATTATGGCTTCTCCACAAAAACCATTTTGGTTCTTCTTCTTCCGAATCCAACCCTTTCTTTCTTTCCTCCTCCTTTTCCTTTTTCTTTTACCATCCTTTTCAGTTTCTCAGCCCTACAAAAATGTAACTCTGGGTTCATCTCTCACTGCTCGCAACAATAAAAATGACTCCTACTGGCCCTCCCAATCTGGTGATTTTGCTTTTGGGTTTCAACAGATTGGAAGCAAAGGCTTTTTGTTGGCCATTTGGTTCAACAAAATCCCTCAAAAAAACCGTTGTCTGGTCCGCCAATCGGAACGATTTGGTGCCTGAAGGATCCACAGTTCAACTCACCACTCTTGGTCACCTCCTGCTCAACGACTCAACAGGCAATCAAATATGGGCCGCAAATTTTGCAGCCGATAATGGAACGGTCTCCTATGCTGCCATGCTTGATACCGGCAATTTCGTCCTGGTTGCGAATAATTCCCCAGTTTTGTGGCAAAGCTTCCATGAGCCCACCGATACTATTTTACCGTCACAGAATATTATGAACAACGAAATTAGTCTTATTGCTCGCGATTCAGAAACAAAATTACGCAGAGGGAAGGTTTATATTACGGATGCAGGGCGATGGGAATCTGGTGCTGCACCCCAGAATTGTCCCTTTGGGTAGTATTGGGTCACCTTATTGGGCAAGTAACACTGTAGGCTCTGGGTTCCAGCTCGTTTTCGACCTCTCTGGCTCCATTTATGTCTCTGCAACCAATGGAAGTAGTGTAAAAAATTTGACCTCCTATACTCCTTGGAATAAGGATTCTTACCATCGAGCCATTCTCGAGTACGATGGAGTTTTCAGGCAATATGTGTACCCAAAGAATGATAATGGCACTCCTTCCCTTCGACCTAAGGGTTGGAGTCAAGTCTCAAATCCCATACCTTCGGATAATATTTGCGGGAGCATAGGAAATGGCTTAGGAAGTGGAGCTTGTGGGTACAACAGCTATTGCAATTTGGTGGATCAGAGACTAACTTGCGAATGCCCACGAGGGTATCACAAGGTTGATCCAGATGATCCCATGAAAGGTTGCAAACCAATTTTTGTTTCTCAGAGTTGCGACTACTCGTTTCCTGAAGCTGATGCCTTCGATTTTTTTCCGATAGAAAACTCAGACTGGCCTGACTCTGATTATGAGGGTACCTCCGGAACAAATGAGGATTCGTGCAGAAGATCTTGTTTGGATGACTGTTTTTGTGCTTCTGTCGTTTTTGAAACAGGGAATTGTTGGAAGAAGAAGTTTCCTCTTTCATTTGGAAGAATTAATCCTGATTTTAAAGGTAGAGCTCTCATCAAATTTAGGAAGGACAACTCAACTTTGATGCATAATAGTGTTGTCAACAGATATAGGGACACAACTTTGGTAGTCACTGGAGCAATTCTTTTAGGCAGTTCTGGGTTTCTAGTCTTCATTTTATTGCCGGCCACATTTCTGATTGCTTACCGATTCAGTAAAAAGAGATCAAAGGACGATGTCGTCGAAAAGCTACCGGTCCTTGGTATGAACCTGAGAGCTTTCAGCTATGAAGAGCTTAACAAGGCCCCAAGTGGATTCTCAGAGCAATTGGGATGCGGTGCTTTTGCTACTGTTTACAAAGGGATCGTTGATTCTATGGACAACAGCTTGGTAGCTGTTAAAAGGTTGGACAATACAGTGAAAGAAGGAGACCAACAGTTCAAAGCTGAGGTGAGTGCTATTGCTAGGACAAACCACAAGAATTTGGTTCGATTGCTTGGTTTCTGCGATGAAGAGCCACACAGAATGTTGGTGTATGAGTTTATGCAAAATGGGTCTCTCGCAGATTTCCTTTTCGGGCCTTCAAAACCAAATTGGTACCAGAGAATTCAGCTGGCTATAGGAACTGCCAGAGGGCTATGTTATCTACACGAAGAGTGCAGCACTCAAATCATTCATTGCGATATTAAGCCCCAAAACATCCTTCTAGACGACTCTTTTGGTGCACGAATTGCAGACTTCGGTTTGGCCAAACTTTTGAAGAAAAACCAAACTCGAACCATGACTGCAATAAGAGGAACCAAAGGGTATGTGGCTCCAGAATGGTTCAGAAACCTCCCCATTACAGCGAAGGTAGATGTTTATAGCTTTGGGATTCTATTGCTGGAGGTGATCTGTTGCAGAAGAAGTTCTGAATTGGAAGCAGAGAACAAAGATGAAATGGTGTTGGCAGATTGGGGTTACGATTGCTTCAAAAGGAGGAGATTGGAGATGTTGGTAAGAAATGACGAAGAAGCAAAGGATGATATGAAAAGGGTGGAGAAGTTGGTTATGATTGCAATTTGGTGCATCCAGGAGGAGCCATCGCTGAGACCATCCATGAAAAAGGTTCTGCAGATGCTTGAAGGTGCTGTTGAAGTTTCAACCCCGCCTGACCCATCATCATTTATCAGCACAATTCAGTAGCATAATTTCTTTTAATTTCATGAATAATTTTTAGTATACGAATTACTATCCCTATCCCTCCCTGTGTAGGTATATCTTTTAAGTGTGATATAGTTTGGGAAAATGGACAAAATAAATTTTCTGGGAGCGTCTCTTAAAATTTTTTAATCCTACTCCTCAAAACATAAGTTTTTTAGTCACTACTAACATTATCAACTTTACCAAATAACCTCTCATGTCTTTCCTTGCTTTTTTTTTCTCTCCCAGGCTCCATCTCTCTTCTCTCTCTTCCACTAATATTCTAATATTTTAGACTTCTCTCCTTATTTCCTCTCTCTACTCTATCTCCCTCTTTTTATAGATTTTTTTTCCTAATCTCTATTTTCTTATCGTAATTTTTTTTTTCATTCTCCCTAAAATTTTTTCTTGGAGTTTCTCTTTCCCATCTTCCCTCTTTCTCTATTTTTTCTATTACTATTATTCTCTTTCTTCTTTACTCACCACAAAAAGTAATTTTTTTCGCCGAAGAAAGAAGATCGAGGAATGGGGGCAAGAGAGAGCGAGGTTGAGCGARGGAGGGCGAGAATTGAGGGAATCTAAAAATACTATCTCAATATTAATTCAAATTTGTTTCTCGAAATCTATTCTCAATTTCATTAAATCTCTCAAAGTAGTTTTAATTAGGATGGAATTACATTTTGCTTTCATCTCTTTCATTCCTAATTTAAAATTTAATCAAATGAAAATATCAATTTAAAAGTATTGGAATTTGAAATTTAATTCAAATTTATTTTCCAAAATCTCTTTTTTAATTAGATTTTAAATTGATACATTTGATTAAAATTTAAATTAGAAATCAAAGATGGGAAAGCAAAATTGGGGGATTTGAAAAGCAAAATTGAGATTTGAAATTCAATTATAATTAAAACTACATTAGAGATTTCAGGAAACAATGAATTAATATTGAAATTCCGTATAAACATTAATTCAAAATTAATTTGATTGGATAAACATTAATTCAAAATTAATTTCTAGATACTATAAAAAAACAATCTCATTAAAAATATTATTTTTAGATTCACTCAATTCTCTCTCGCTCTCTCTCTCGCTCTCTCTCTCGCTCACCCTCGCTCTCTCTCTCTCTATCTCCTCCCCCATTCCTCTTCCACTGAGCTTCTTTCTTCGGCGAATGACCTCCTTCGTTGGCTTTGATGCGGCCGTCGTCAGCGAAGTCACGGGAACCATGGAGGCTGCTGGTTTTAAAAAAAAAGCTGAGAGATTTAGAGTTTTTTTTAAGTAAATTGCTTTTTGTGGTCAGTAAAGAAGAAAGTGAATAATAGTAATTAGAAAAAATACAGAAAGATGGAGGAAGGAAAAAAGAAACTTCAAGAAAATTTAAGAGAGAATGAGAAAAAAAACTTTGCTGAAAAGAGAATAATAAAAAACGATAAGAAAAAAAATATGGAAAAAGAGGGAGATAGAGGTAGAGGGAGGAAATAAGGAAGGAAGTCTAAAATATTAGTGGAGGAGTAGTGAGGGTCATTTGGTGTGAATGTGATGTCAGCAAATGCTTATAAAATTTGTGTTTTGAAAATGATGATTAAAAAACTTAAAATGATCCAATAGAATGCTTATTTTGTCAATTTTCCCGTTTAGTTTTATTATACTTGATTGCTATTGTTAAGGATTCAACATTCAAAAGATAAAAGACGCAGTATGCTGACTAATTGTCCATTTATATAAAATATATATGGCTAATATAAAAATAGATTTTACCAACCCATAAAAGCGAAATGATTCAAAATCAAATTGGTTGAGTGATAGTAATATTGACATTATTACAACAATCACATTTAATAAAATTTTTGCGTGTTTCTGTCAAAATCAAATTGGTTGACTGATAGTAATATTGATATTATTACAACAATCACATTTAATAAAAATTTTGCGTGGGAGGAAGTATTTACTATTTAATATAAAGTTTTGAATGTGTCAAATGTAACATTAAATTTAAGGAATGCATCAAATATTCAGCGATTCAAGTATCTCAACCAATTCTAATTTTTCAAAGTGTCATCTCTTTTTTCTTAGTTTTACTACGTGCACCGTACCTGTCACGTTATTACAACAACCATATTTAATATTTTGTACGTGGGAGGAAGTATTTAGTCTAAAAATTTTGAAATCATCAAATGTAACATTAAATTCATGGGCAAATGTTATGCATCAAGTGATTGACTAGCAATGCAAAGTCTCTCATCCAAACTCCAACTTTTCAAAGTGACCTCTCTTTTTCCTTTCGGGTTGGCTTTTCAAAACCAGCCCTCCCAATTTATTATTATTTTTCTCGTACAAAATGACCTCAAAATTAAATGGACCTCTTACCATCATTTTGACCTACCACCTTTTTTAGCTGTTAAAATATTAATATCTATGAATGTCACTTGAGGGTGGGTAAGAATACATTTTTGCCCTCATAGCGTGAGACCCTTTTTAACCTAAGTATGCCTTTTATAATTAATGCAAAAGCTGCCTAATTTTATGGGGATGAAATATTAGAGGTATGTTTGTGAGACAGAAAGAGATAGCATTTACAGATATCTTTTAGTAATGTATATATTTTAAAGGCTTAACATATCAAATAGTCTCTAACCTATTAAGCCCTTCCATAAATAAATATGTTAAAAATTTATTTTTAATACACCATGTGAGGATGAGAAATTGAATTCACAACCTTTTGGTTGAGATATATGTTAATTACCGCTAAGCTATACTCACTTTGACAATACGTTAAAATTTGTTAATAAAGAGTTGATGTATTACTGAAGGATTGTTTTATTAACATTTGTGAACATACCAATGGAAAGAAATGAAATTTATAAATCAACAAGTTGAGTTTCATGTGTTAAAGTAATATTATTTGATGTCCCATGGTTAAATATGTTAATAAAATAATAAATGAATGATACATCAATTTTTTTAACAAAAAAAATATAGATTTTTTTTAATTACGAAAGGAGTCTATTGAGATTTTTTTTTTTTTTTTTTGTTTAATATGACCAAGTCCAAAACAAAAGTCACGTTGGAAGAAAAAATGTCAATCCAATGACGAAGGTACAAAGGCCTCTTTATGTATAAAAATGGACTCATCTGTCTAGTTTGCCTTATGGCTTCTCTACAGAAATTATTCTACTTCTTTCCTCTTCTTCTTCTACCATCCTTTTCAATTTCTGAGCCTTATAAAAATATCTCTCTGGGCTCATCTCTCACTGCAGGCGGCGGCAACAGCAACAACAACGGCTCCTACTGGCCCTCCCCATCCGGTGATTTTGCTTTTGGGTTTCTACAACTTGGAAGAAAAGGCTTTTTGTTGGCCATTTGGTTCAACAAAATCCCTCAAAACACCGTTGTCTGGTCCGCCAATCGGAACAATTTGGTACCTGCAGGATCCACAGTCCAACTCACCACTCGCGGTCAACTCCTGCTCAACGGCCCCGGAGGCAATCAAACATGGGCTACAAATTTACTAGATAATAACGCTGCTTATGCTGCCATGCTTGATAGTGGCAACTTCATCCTGGCTGGGACTGGGAATGATTATTCCCAAATTGTGGCAAAGCTTCGACACACCTACTGATACAATTTTACCATCACAGACAATCAGCGGAGATCTTATTGCTCCTTATTCAGAATCGGATTACTCAGAGGGAAGATTTCGACTCTCCATGGAAAGTAATGGGAATCTTGTGCTAACTTACCCCGCAACTATCCCTATGCGTGCAACTCCCACATCTTACTGGGAAAGTAAAACGGCAGGCTCTGGAAACAGGCTCGTTTTCAACCTCTCTGCCTCCATTTATGTCTCTGCAAGAAATGAGAGTGCTGTGAAAACTTTGACCTCCAATGCCCCTTCAACTGAGGATTTCTACCATCGAGCCATTTTCGAGTACGATGGAGTTTTCAGGCATTATGTGTACCCAAAGCCCCATAATGCTTCTCCCTGGCCCCAGGCTTGGAGTCGAGTATCAAATTCCGTACCTCCCAATATTTGTTTGCCAATAGTCAGTGGCTTGGGAAGTGGGGCTTGTGGGTACAATAGCTATTGTAGTATTGGAGACGATCAGAGACCAACTTGCCATTGCCCACGAGGCTATGACTACCTTGATCCTAATGATGCCATCAAAGGCTGCAAACCCAGTTTTATTCCTCAAAGTTGTGACGACCCAATTCCTGAAATTGATGCCTTCGAGTATTTTCCCATAGAAAATTCAGACTGGCCTGACTCCGACTATGAAGCTTTTCACGGAGTAGATGAGGACTGGTGTAGAAGAATTTGTTTGGAGGATTGTTTTTGTGCTGCTGTCGTTTTCCAAGAATATAAATGTTGGAAGAAGAAATTTCCTCTTTCATTTGGAAGAATTGATCTTAACTTTACAGGTAAAGCTCTGATTAAAATTAGGAGAGATAACTCTACTTCCATACTTCCCAATCGCGTCAAGAAAGATAGGGACAAAACTTTAGTAGTCATTGGGTCGGTTTTATTGGGCAGTTCTGGGTTTCTTATCTTCATCTTACTGCCAACCACTTTTCTAATTGTTCTTGGATTAAAAAAAAAGAGATCAAAGATTATTGACAGGAGGCCAGAAATTCTGGGTGTGAACCTAAGAATTTTCAGCTATCAGGAGCTGAACAAGGCAACAAATGGATTCACAGAGCAGTTGGGAAGTGGTGCTTTTGCTACTGTTTATAAAGGGATTATTGGTTCTATGGACAACAATTTGGTGGCTGTTAAAAAGTTGGACAATGTGGTGAAAGAGGGAGACCAAGAATTTAAGGCTGAGGTGAGCGCTATTGCTCGAACAAACCACAAGAATTTGGTTCAATTGCTTGGTTTTTGCAATGAAGAACCACACAGAATGTTGGTGTATGAGTACATGCCAAATGGTTCCCTCGCAGATTTTCTTTTCGGGTCTTCAAAACCAAATTGGTATCAGAGAATTCAAGTCGCTATAGGGACTGCCAGAGGGCTATGCTATCTACACGAAGAGTGCGACACTCAGATCATTCATTGCGACATTAAGCCCCAAAACATCCTTTTAGACGCCTACTTGGAGGCACGAATTTCAGACTTTGGATTGGCCAAACTGTTGAAAAAGAACCAAACTCGAACCATGACTGCAATCAGAGGAACCAAAGGTTATGTGGCTCCGGAGTGGTTCAAAAGCCTCCCCATTACAGTGAAGGTTGATGTTTATAGCTTTGGGATTCTGTTGTTGGAGATGATCTGTTGCAGAAGAAGTTTTGAAATGAAAGCAGAGAATGCAGATGAAATGGTGTTGGCGGATTGGGCTTACGATTGCTTCAGAAAGAGGAGAGTGAAGATGTTGGTTGAAAATGATGAGGAAGCGAAAGAAGATATGAAGAGGGTGGAGAAGTTTGTTATGATTGCAATTTGGTGCATTCAAGAGAAGCCATTGTTGAGACCTTCAATGAAGAAAGTGATACAGATGCTTGAAGGTGCTGTTGAAGTTTCGACTCCACCCGATCCATCACTTTGCTAACATAATTTTCTTCCATGAATAGTTCTTAGTTTACGAATGACTATTAATTCACGTGAATATCTGTTGAAAATGTGAAATTATGCTTGTGGCAGAGGCAGATTTGTAATATACATTGTTGGTTTATTATTAATTAAAATTCTCTTTGGTTTGGTGGCGCAGGTGTGTCTTGCTCTTCTCAATGTTTGATTTTTGTATTCTCAATTTTTTATTTTGTTACTCACCAGTCCAATTTCAAAAAGAGGTTGACAGAGCTTGCTCAATCCACTTAGCAAAAGGAAATTTTAATTACAAATATAATAAATATAAAAAAAAAAAGTATATATTACAAACCCGAGTTTTGCCAAAACACGTCCCTGAGGCCTGAACTAATGGGTTTGTATGAATTTCATATTACTTATAGTAGATTTCTGACCAAATTTCATTTCATCCCTTTACCTCACTTTTTTAAATCAAACTAACTGTAGTTTTGTATTTTTATCGAAAAATATATTTTGGGTCAGAAAACGAGTTTCGAAAATTTGGGTCAATTACCTAAATCCAAAAAGCTTTTGAATTATTATTTTTTTTTTGTCAATTTTCCCTATTGTTTACTCAACTTTTAAAATTGAGATAACATCTCTATTTTAAATCTTAATTTCATAGATGTTGTTTTCAAAATTTACACTTTTACATATTTCAGATAGGATTTTATGTTATTACCGTTTCTACCATTATTTATTGCTTTTTATGTTATTATAATTTTAAAATTTAAAATATTTGAATCCTTAATTTGTTATTATATTCATTTAATTATTGTCGGCTCCGTTCAATTTTTCAACCTAAATTCCTCAAATCTCTCATTAAAAAAGATTTTATCCTCTCACCAATTAAGAACTCCCAAATTTGTGAAATCATGTTTTGAATTAATCAGATTTGTTCCGTCTGCTTCCGTCTCCAACCTTTTTTTTTCCGCCGTCTTCCTTTCTTTCGTGCAGACCTTCATCAACGAGGACAAGAGACGTGCAGACTGTCTGTCTTCAGGGCTTCCATCAACAAGCGATTTTTTCCTTCTTCTTTTCGTCTAGATTTTCTTATTTCCGCTGCCGAATAGACTTTCCGTCGACCTCGTTGCACGTTTCCGACACTGTGCAGCGTGCTTCCTTCAACGAGATATTTATTCCTTCCATTTCCGTCGCCGAATAAACTTTCCATCAACGTCTTTGCACGTTTCCGACGTCGTTCAACTCGTTCCTCGTCTCCTGTCCCCTTCTGTTTTTACCATTGGTAATTATTAGTCTTCCGTTAAGATTGATATATATGGGGATATATTTTATGTATGTATATAGAAAATTGAAGTTCTAAACGTTTCATAGTCTTAGTATTTCTGATTATATTCGTATATATTCGTATATATTGTATATGTGAATATATCTCACATATATCTTATAGTTGTGTAGATAGGGTCCTCCAAAATTGAAGTTTTGATTTTTGAAGGTTTTCAAATTTTGGGGGATTTGAGGTTATTGTTTCAAATCTTTGTCAATTTAAAGCCTCTGTCAAATGGATGTTTCATTTTTTTTGTTTATTTATTTTGGGAGATTTTTAGACTGGATTCGGGGATATTTTGAGAGGTTTTCAAATTTGGGGAATTTAGGGTTTTCTTTTTAAGGTTTTGGTGTTTTAATTTGTTTTGGAAAGTATCATTAACCTAAAATTATGGGATCCAAATTATATCCTTCCAATAGACTATTTAAGTAATTTATGTGATGGATACCCTCCTAAATAAGATTGATACATGACAAATGTAAATTCTATACATTTAATTAGGATCTTTAGCCCATCAACGTACTATTCCCTTTAAAATTTGTTTTAGTACTGTTGGGACGTTGGCTCACTTGGGCCCAAATAACATATGTTCAGAAAATCTTGGGCTCATAATATCAATCGGTGAAGCCCTTTTATGAAACAGTCGTGTGGTGAGGGTACTTATTCTTCGGACAAAACAAAACAGAAGAGTTGTTCTTTTTCTTTTTCTTTTTTTTTTCTGGGTTCTTCTTGCGGCGGTACAGAAGCGGCGACGAGGGTTTTTTCCTTGGTTCAGTCGATTTTGTAAACTTATAAGTTGCAGTTCGTTTGATGTTCTCTCTACTGTGCCTTTTGTAGCAGGAAATTTAGGCTTGTTATTTGCATAAGAAAAGAATGAGGTTAGAGAAGTGTTGGTTCTGTTCCTCCACCATATATCCAGGACATGGTATTCAGTTCGTTCGCAATGATGCCAAGGTAAGGGTGTAAAGTTGTTTTTGTTAGCTTGAAGATTGCAAACTTTCTTGTTCGTGATCCTTTGTTTGCGGTGCATATTAGTCTGTAGGAATTGATGGTCGTTCTTGGTGGACTTCTGAATTAGTTATATTAGGCAGAATCCCTTGTTCCTTATATGCTTTTTCGGCAGATTTTTAGATTTTGTCGGTCAAAATGCCACAAGAACTTCAAGATGAAGAGGAATCCCCGTAAAGTTAAATGGACTAAGGCATACAGGAGGTTGAATGGAAAGGATATGACACAGGTAACTTTCTTGATTGATTTCTGGAACAATTAGGATTTTGATTTTTGAAAGTCCAAACTTTCTGGCGTCTCTTTAATTGTTGTTTCATATTGGTATTATCCAGGACTCGACTTTTGAGTTTGAGAGGAAGCGCAACAGGCCGGAGAGATATGACAGGAATCTCACAGAAGAGACATTGAGGGCTATTAAGAAGATCGATAAAGTCAGAGCAGATAGGGAGTCGAGGCACATTGCACGCAGGTTTTTAAATCTCTTCCATTACCACGCTGTATGCCTATATACTGTGAATAATGCTTTAGGTGTAACTTGGGGTTGTTCACATTTGCAGAATGCAAGGAAAGAAAGGAAAGGAGCTCAAAGAGGCGCGCAAGGAATTGGATCAGAGCATCAGTTTGGTCAAAGCACCTTCTGTTCTCAAGGAGGATCCTTCCCTCACCCTTCCTAAGATCAAAGTCAAGGTGGCACAATCGCAAGCAGAGCAAAATCAGGCTATGGAACAATGACCTTGTTACTCTCATCAAATGTTTACGCCACAATTCTTGTGCACATCATGTGGTAGTTTGCCATCGTCTGTCCTTACAAAGGCATGGTTGTCAACGTGTCATTTGAGACTGTTGTTTGAATACAGACTCTTAGAATTTTTCTTGAATCATTTCTTGGCGCTGTTTTAATTTGTATGTTTCCTCACCTCTTGCTTCTTTGTTGAAGAGGGCATGTAGAGATGAATTCACATTGGAGATTGATTTCTAGATTGACTGTAGGTGGTGGACTCGACGGATGTTTTGGGTTCTAAATGGAACGGCTAAGATATTTAGTCACTTATAGATTGGAAGTTGGAATCCCTCTAAATTTGTTCTTGAAGATTTTGAATACGTCTGATTTGATATAGCATTCCAACTAAAAAAAAAGAAACTGCGACCCAGTTTCTGGTTCTCCCCGATCACAAAAATAAGGCTTTATTATTATTTATTTTAAACTATTACAAATCAAATAAGGATTGGAGATTTAATAGTTTCATGAACGCATTGTTTTCAACAAAATGTCACGTGATTTGGTCTCATAATTCATATTTTTTTGGTTCAGATAAAGGGTGAACATAATTTATTAAACTTTGTCCGTGGGTTGGGAAATTCTGACTGTGTCAAACCGAGACATAACATTTAATTTTGAGGACTAAAAGTAACATCACATCAGTTAGCAATTAAAGTTACCTTGTCATAAATATTCTATCTCAAAATCAATTAGGTATCTCGTATATATTAACGTGGGATCCTTGACATATTCTTTCATAATGGTAGGTTTTTTAAGTTTACTAATCTTGGTCGGATTCGAATTCAAATATTTGGGAAGTTCACAAGATAACAAAGATTTATAATATACCTGAGATATTCTACTCATTATCAATTGATTGAGATATTCTACTCATTATCAATTGATTCAGAAAGAAGTAACTTATACATACATTAGTTAGCTCTTTTTCTTATTTGTTGAATGCGGGGTCCTTTTAACACAGCATCCTCTTTTTGACTAGTTTTCAAAGTCTTCTTCCTCTTGTTCTTATTCGTGGCTAGTTCTATTCTAAGCCCACGTGGAAACTTTGGCACCATTGGAATTTGGAAGGGGCTCTCTCCCTCTGCTCTGCATCTGCTCTTGTTTTCCATTTATCTCTGGATAATTGAATTGATATCGCTTCTCAAGTGTATTGCATGTTTGCCCTATGGCTTCCCCGTGCGAATCATCTTACTTCCTTCCGTTTCTTCTTTTTCTTTTTCTTTTACCAACTTGTTCGATTTCTCAGAGTCAGCCGTATAGAAATGTAACCCGGGGCTCAGCCCCTCTCACTGCACGCAACAATGACAATGGCTCCTACTGGTCCTCCCCATCTGGTGATTTTGCTTTTGGGTTTCGACAGCTTGGAAGTGAAGGCTTTTTGTTGGCCATTTGGTTCAACAAAATTGTCGAAAATACCGTCGTTTGGTCGGCTAATGGTGATAACTTGGCTGCCTGAAGGATCCACAGTTGGCTCCAATGCATCAGCCATATTCTGCTTTGCACTTGGTTCATAGGTGATGAGAAATTCTTCAGTAGACATCACCAGAAAAGAAAAAAAAGTCAGTAGGGTGGTGACATATTATTATGTTTTTTTATATAGCAGGGAGTCAAAAGCATTGCTCCTCTATACCCAAGTACACCCGCGCCCGTCCCAAGGCTCGAATCCGGGAGATATCAAGAGTTTTTGGTATTAAGCTCACCAAAAGTTCAAACTTGAGACCCCAAATCCTTGCTAACTGGGCTGCCGCTTTGGGGCGGGTGGTGACATATTATTGCCTTGGCCGTCTCGTGCTCTGACGACCCTGGAGGCAAGCAAATATGGACTGCAAACGTTGGCACTAATGAGGACGTGTTTTAAGCCGCCATGCTTGATACTGGAAACTTCGTCTTGGTTACCACTACCGATCAAATTGCGTGGCGAAGCTTCGTTGCGGTTACCGATACGCTTTTACCATCACAGACTTTAAATAAGAACGGAAACCTCATTGCTCGTTACTCAGAAACCAACTACTCAACTGGAAGATTCCAACTTGCGATGCAAGGTGATGGGAATCTCGTGCTTTACCTCAGAGAATTCCCCACGGATTCAGTAAATGCAGCTTATTGGGCAACTGGCACTATTTTGGACCGTAGCTCCAACTTTCATGTCGTTTTCAGCCTCTCTGGTTCTATTTATCTCATTTCAGACTCAGAGAATGGAACCATTCTGGCAAATTTGACATCAAATACTCCGTCAACTCAAAATTTCTACCACCGAGCGGTTCTTGAGCATGATGGGGTTTTCATACAGTATGTTTACCCAAAGATTGGTCATGAAATCAATTCGTCTTGGCCTAAAGCTTGGTCTCAAGTCTCAAACTCCACACCTTCCAACATCTGTATGGCAATTAATGGAGGTTTGGCAATTGGGGCGTGCGGGTTTAATAGCTACTGTAAGCCTGGGGATCATCAGAGGCCACTTTGCACTTGTCTACCAGGATACGACTTAATTGATCCTGACCATCTGATGAAAGGTTGTAAACCCACCTTTGTTTCTCAGAGTTGTGATGAATTGTCTCCTCAAACTGATGACTTCCAATTTTCAACTTTGAAAAACGCCAATTGGCCCGATTCTGATTATGGGCATTTCAAAGCGGCGACTGAAGATTGGTGCAAAAGCGAATGTTTGAGCGATTGTTTTTGTGCCCTTGTTGTTTTCAAAGATGGGGAATGTTGGAAGAAAAAGTGGCCTCTTTCTTTCGGAAGAGTGGATCCCAGCCTCCGCGAAAAAGCTTTCATCAAAATCGGGAAACACAACTCTACTTTCGAATTCGAACGTAGTAATCTTTATGAGACAAAACATTGGAAGTGGAACAAGACTGCGATAGTCATTGGATCAATAGGCTGTTCTGTTCTTCTGTGCTTCATTTTATTGCTTGCCACTTTATTGATTCGTAAGCGATTCGGTAAAAGGAAATCAAATGTTCTTCAAGGAGACCCATTAATTTTAGGTGTGAATTTGAGGATTTTCAGCTACGAAGAGCTCAACAAGGCCACAGGTGGATTCGTAGAGCAGTTGGGACGTGGTTCTTTTGCTACTGTTTATAAAGGGATTATTGATTCCATGGACAACAGCTTGGTGGTCGCCGTTAAAAAGTTGGACACTGCGGTGAAAGAGGGAGACCAAGAATTTAAAGCCGAAGTGAGCGCTATTGCTGGAACAAACCACAAGAATTTGGTCCGATTGCTGGGTTTCTGCAATGAAGAGCCACAATAGAATGCTGGTGTATGAGTTCATGCCTAATGGGTCTCTCGCAGATTTCCTTTTCGGGCCTTCGAAACCAAATTGGTATCAGAGAATTCAAATAATTTTGGGAACTGCGAGAGGGCTGTGTTATCTACACGAAGAGTGCAGCACTCAGATCATTCATTGTGATATCAAGCCTCAAAACATCCTTCTGGACGAGTCTTTTAGTGCACGAATTGCAGACTTCGGTTTGGCCAAACTTTTGAAAGCAGACCAGACTCGAACTATGACTGCAATCAGAGGAACCAAAGGATACGTAGCTTTAGAGTGGTTCAGAAACCTCCCCATTACAGCGAAGGTGGATGTTTACAGCTTTGGGATTGTGTTGTTGGAGATTATATGCTGCAGAAGGAGTTTTGAAGCAAAAGCAGAGGGTGAAAATGAGAAGGTGCTGGCGGATTGGGCTTATGATTGCTTCAAGGAGGGGAAAGTGGAGATGGTGGAGAATGACGAGGAAGCAAAAACTGAGTTGAACAAAGTGAACAACTTCGTTATGATTGCAATTTGGTGTATTCAAGAGGAACCATCGCTTAGGCCCTCCATGAAGAAAGTGGTGCAGATGCTTGAAGGTGTGCTACAAATTTCCTTTCCCCCTGACCCATCTCCTCTGACATTTTCTCTTCTATAATTTACTTTCTTTTAAAGCCTATGTTGTTCCTAAATTCTGTTTGTATTCGACATCTCTAGTATGAGATAGATTATTTGTGGTGTTGTGTAGCATTAGATTGCGTAGTCCTTGTTTCTGGTGCAAGTATAATTTGAGTAGTCCCATTTTCTGTTTTACTTTTTTCCCTTATTTTTTTTGAACTATTCAACTCTTTTACCATATTGGATTTTATTTTGAAATTTGCTATTTCTTAATTTATATATTTGGTAGTCCCAATTTATTTGTTTTCCTTTATTCCTTTGGGTGCTATGCATTATAAAATTTAAATTCATTCAAACGGTTCGCAATAAATTGATTTAAGTTAACAATAAAATGCCATCTATTTATGCTATTTTAATATTTTGCGAAGTTTAAAGTGTGAATACCATACACATACTTTTGTTACTTTGCATGTGGTTAATTTTAAAATAAAATAATTTTTTTAATGTGGATAATTTAAAATTAAATATTATTTAATTTCATTAGTTTAAAATAAAATATTATTTAGTTTTTCAATTTGAATAGTAACTACCTATTCAACACTATGAGATTTTGTTTATTGTTTAGGAGGTCCGGCTGTTACAAAATCCATGTCCCAGAAAATGTTTTTTTTTTATTACAAGATTCCTGGATATAAAGAATCGAACTTCCGACCTTAAAAAAAGTGCTATACTTATGTTAGCGAGTTTAACAAAAGTGCTACGTCTCATAAAATATAATATATTACATTATTTTTTGCATCGAAATGAAGGCTGGGGATTGGACATTGGACATGATCAAAATTACATTTATGCCCAGTGAGCAAAAATTTCGTCGTGAAAATTTTGATGTGTAAAAAAGAAACATAAAATTTAATTTAAGGACTAACATGTAACATCATTTGACAAGCAAATTTCGGATCTCTCAGCCAAACTCGAACTTTTCAAACCCTGTCGAAAGTTATAACTCGAAAAAAGAAAAAAAGAAAACAAACATTTCAATTTATTTTTAATATATTTATTTTTTGAGCCACTTTTTAAGAACAAATATTTTTAAAAGGCAGTCTGATCGAAGAGTGATTTTCCAAAGAAATTATTATATCCTTAAAATTTAAAACCATTTGATGATAGGTATTGCTTATTGCATCCCACATCAAGCAAATAGCAAATAGGAAACAACAATCTACTAGATCTAATATGGAGCGAGAAAGAATAATTAAGGCAAATTTGAGAAAGCGAAGTATAAATGGTATGCTAAATATTAAAGAATATGATAATACTATAAGTAAAGGTGGGCAAAATCAAAGCATAGCTATTATAAATTATAATTGAAGTAGTAAAAATTCATAAATGAAATAATAAATAAAAGAGATAAAAAGAAAGATCTAAAATTGAGTTATATTCTTTTCTTGCTTGGAGTCTCGAAACTTTAACCCAGAGCAGACACAGTTTTCAACTTTTAAAACCCTAACTCTGAACTATTCTTAATTAATTATATGTATTTTTTAAGTCCAACAAGTCAAGTTTAAATAATATATCTTTAGTTTTTTCTCAAGAATATTTAAAAGCCGTAGTACGGGATAAAAAATGCTCAATATTTTACATTGATGAGTGTGCTTCATTTTAATTACATCAATTATTTTTTTTTAGTGGAGAGGTTTTTTTTATTTTTTTATTTTTAACTATTAAAAGTTTCTCTACCAAAAAAGAAGGGAAAAAAAAACCGATGATAATTAAAGGGCATGCGGTGTATGGTGATTGTATTAAAGAGGGAGGTGCGAGCTAAAAAAACAACTAAAAATCGATGATGTTATTTACTGTTGTGTGAGCATCAGCATGACCATTGACCAATTTGTTGCACTTTTTCCGTTGCTCATTTACCAAAAAGTCCCTGGTATTTTCCAGGCCCGGCCCAGCCCAGAGCAGACCCTTTTGGCAAATCGCAAATTCCATCTTTGTTATTCTCACGCGCTTCTCTCGTTTGGAGTTCGAGGGCCATGCCAATTGTACCTCCTTAGTCCTTTCCTTTGACAATCACTCCCTTCTGCCCTCTTCCAAATCTCAGCGCTTCATCTTCTTCTTCTTCTTCTTCTTCTTCTTCTTCTTCTTCTTCTTCTGCACTCCACTTCCTTTTACTTTACTTCTCTTCCACTTCCAGATCCTACCTTCTTCCGGACTTGACATCTTTCTCTGCTTTTTCTGCAACTATTTGCTACCATTTTCGCCTCTTCGGATCCCTCCTCCGATCAAAACTATTGGGTTCACCGGCAACATGCCTTCTTTCTCAATACAGGTTTGATTCACTTCACTTCCTCCTCTCGGTTTCCCCTTTCTCTATTTGGGCATTGCATTTGCGTTCTGTTCTGTTCTGTTCCTGTCTTCTTACCCTTATTGGCTTTGGAAGTTGAAGACTTGAGGTTGATGTCATTCTTTCTTTTTGCTTCTGGTTTTGTTGAGCTCCATTAGTTTCATATGTTGTGTTTGCCTGCTTCTACTCTTACTTTTCTGGACTGGAGAGATTGCTTGATGTTCTTCAAGTTTATATTGTCTGATTTTGATTTTCTTCCGTTTTCCTGGTCAAACTATTTTCATTTTCTTTTGTTATCCCAATCCACCGTTTCGGATCTTTGTCGGGGCTCATCGTCTCCTGGTTTTATGTACTTCTGAGGCTTATTTTTCCATGAAGTGTTTCAATGCCGTGGTAATACAAGATCACGTAAGATACGAAATAACTTCCACCTCATGGGAAGTTAAATCCAAGCCGCAGGCTTATCTTGCTGCAAGACTTGATTGAGTACAGTTTCCCTTTTAAAGGCAGCAGCTACACTCGTTCTTTACATATTTGGGACGAACTCTGTTCTTTAGTTTTCTGATTTGATGCCCCAAGACTGCTTTATATGCAACAATTAGCTTTCTTTTTACATGCCCAACTCCATAAAAAGTTCCAACCAGCCCTAGAGCCAAATGTCAGAATGAGGACATCTAAGTGTATGTATCAACATTTGTCATATTTGCTCAGCATCTGAGCTGCTGGCTTTCTGGCACTGATGCCTTTTCTTCTTGAGTTTATTTTACTCTTCTTTTAATGGAACAAGAATAAGAAAGGCAGTTGTTTCATTCAACAATTGGTTTTGGACAGTATAATTTTTTTGTTCATTGGTGTTGTATTTGTAAGCAGTTAACTTTCTTTTGGTTTCTCTATTGAAATTTTATGTTACAATCTTTATTTATTAACTTGAACCCCGATGGGTTGCTGATCTTTTGGTCTGTTGGTACCTTGTGTAAAGGGTGGTGATTATAACTTCCTCAGACACTCTAGTCTTTACTCGACCTTAGCAGATACTTTATTTGTATTATTTCGTAAATTTATCATGGATATATCATCGGAGAATTCAACCATATCCTAAATCACTCTTCTTTACGGGTTTTTTTTTTCCTAATTATGTTGCAGAACACTTTTATACATGAGTTTCTCTAAGTTCTAGAACTATGGGTAGAGGAAGAGGAAAGGGGAAGAAATTCAGTGTAACCAGTCTTGAAGACCCAACAACTGGTGAGGAAGAGAAATTGTCTTCACAGAAGCAAAGTGGAAGTGCAGAACAGCCATTAAAAGATGAAATCAAGGAAGAAAATTTTGGAAAAGTAGAAGCCATCAATGAGCATGCTAAAGCTTCACCTGGCAAGGTGATTGAAGGTCCAACTCCACTGGAGTGTGGGAAGAAGAGGAAAAGAAACTCTTCAATCAAAGAGAAACTGGATTTAGATAAAGATGAAAATTGTGATGGCACCCAAACAAGCATTGTCGAAGTCAAGTCTAATGGATTCCGGCATAATGGAAGCAGGCGAAAAAGTAAGCCCCGTCGAGCTGCTGAAGCAGTTGTTGAGTGCAGATAAACATTTGGTGGTTGATTATTGGCGGAAGATCTGTCCCATTTATTTGGGCAGATGGTTACCATTATAAATTTAGGAAGTGAAACGTGGTAATATCTAGTCTCCTGTTTCTGTTACTTGTGATTTTTTTCATTTCAATTTTTTGTCACTGCCCAATTTTGATATCAAAAGAGGGACTAAAACTTCACTTTGTTTTTTGTAGTTCCCAATACTTTTCTTGTCACAAATTTAGATCTATTTCTTAAGAACACGAATACATCAGTTAATATATGAAGCTAGAAGCATGGTCGACTTTGTAGACTTTATTCCTATATTGTTTCATGGAAAAGTCTGCTCTATTCATTATGATTATTGCTTATCAGGGTATGGCCAGTACTCCGAGCTTGCTCCAGATATGCATAGTTTTGTTGCCACATGAGAGTGGGCAGTGGATCTTTGTTCCTGATAGGAACGTAGTTCATCCTTTCATCGTAGATAAGAGAACACGCCTAGATTCAGGTCTTGAGAGTTGAAGAGGAAAAACTTATTAGCACAAGTTTGATGCTCAAAAGATCTTAGTTCAAATGCTCATTAATTTTTCATGAAAGATAATGTTTTTCTTTATGGCTGCCTTTATATGAAGAGTTTGTAGGGTAGCAATCGCATATGTTGGTCAATCCATTCAAGTACCAATGAGATCTTCCAAATTGCTAAGATTATTAAGTATATACTAATCAAGTGGTTTGGGGACATTTAACATTTCCGCAACTCTGTTTAGGATCTCCTCTTTATTTCAAGCATGTTGATATTCCATGGGTTTTAAATAGAAATACTGTAAGGGACTCCTTTTCCTGTTACTCCGGGTCCTGATTCTGGCTTCAAAAGTTGATAAGGCACAACCCCAGCTCCACGTCTGTTCTGCAATTTATAATCGGCATTCCTTTCGTCGATTATCCCTTCCAATTCTTTCAATTTCCCACTGAACTTTTCAAATGCTCCCTTTATAAAAGGCTCATGTTCCCACGCCGGTTCGATTTCTTTTCCCAAATATTCTTCATCTGGAGAATGACTTGACAATACATTTAGAACGGCTGTAACTTTTGTGGCTTGAAATTGTGAAGGAAAGGTGTCTAAAAGCACATCTTCCGGCCTATCAATAAACTTCTTCCATTTTTCTGCGTTGAGATCTTCAGTGGGCACATTGATTCTTGCAATGCTGGGTCGATTTGGAAAATATCCTGCATAAGAGTATTGTCCGAAGTTGACCGCTGCATGGTGGCCAGAAGTTACCCACATGATGGTGGTGACAATGTTAATAAGGTCTTGGGGGGTGTCGAGAACCGGCCACCATGGTTCATCCTTCTTGTCTGCATGGCCTTCAGTTCGAATCTCGGTCCACCATGCTTGAAGTTCTTTATCTGACTTCACAAGGCTTGGATCTGGATAGTAGAAGTTGACGTACTCTGTCGCCCATTCTTTAATGGCATCCCAAAGGACTAATCCATCGTTGGCGAAAGGATAGTCTTCAATAGCCAGCTTCAGACCGTGAGGTGCATTTGGATCCTCAACAGCCAATCCCCTTCCAGAAACAACAAGACACAATATTCAATATCAGTATGGATAGAGAAACAAGTTTCAATTAAGCTGAAGGAGGTTTGGAAGAACAGTTACCTGTTAATTAAGTCAGCAGGCAATGCTTCTAAGTTGAATTGCCACTGTTCTTTGTAAGCCACAGAACTAAATTCAATGGAATATTTTCCAGGTGAAAAGCAGGACTCAATGACTCCATCTGCATTGATTAGAGATTGGCGAGCAAGTGCATTGATCTCCATGGTGTATCGAAAATGGGGATGCAAAAGTCTATAGATTGGATGCATTTCGCTCAACTGTCTGTTTGATGCGATAATGTATGGTTCCACACAACAATGAGTTCTAAGCCTGCAAATGAAAACAAGACATAAGGTATCAGAGTGAGTTTTTTTACAAAAAATTTACCTATTATAAAATAAAGGCTTACCAGTGGCTAACGAGTTGATGATAACCAGAGTCATGGGCAAGAACATGAGCTTTGGCAATCCTCCAAAGCCAAATTCTAGTGGCATCCCAAAAGGGTGTAAAAACGCCTTTCCATTGTGGTTTGTCGTCGATGGGTGGCCTAGTGAGCTCGATAGCCAGCGGCCTTAGAGTGTCATCTTCGTGTAAGAAAAACAACGTCCTTGAACCATACAATGTCGTGCCTTTAAGTTGTCGTACCTTTGCCACATATGGGAGGAAGAGATCGTGATAATCTAGTATAAATAGCTTCTTCTGTTTCAATGCCTGCACTTCCCCAACCCCAACATACAAAACTTTAGACAAAAAGAGAATTATATAATTGCAATTCCAAGTGAAAACAATCATCTAAGGCGTACTTCATCGATAGTCATGAATCCTTTGATTTGTTGCTCAATTATTTTATCAGTGATTGCTGATTCAGGAGGACCATAAATGGCAGGGTCAAGTTTACTCTTCAATGGCCATTCCTGCATACAACTTCTCAAGTTAGATTGGAACTTGGAAACTACGGTCAAGTACAAAAGTATCATACCGTGACAAGCTTTATGCTGTAGGGATTGAGACCTGCAAGGGTCTGTCTAGCAAATTCCTCATCTCTATACCAAAAGAACTTGTCCTCTGTATAATGAAGAATAATATTTTGATGATTAAGTAATGGAAACAAAGCACAAACAGCCCAACAATTATTCGAGAGACTGAGAAATCAATATTACTTTCAAATGGTTCAGGAGGATGGAAACGCAAGATATCCTCAGCCTTGTCAATAGCAGTGTCGATCATCCTTGGAAGAACAGTAGCAAGCTTCCAACCGCCTTGAGAAGGCGGCAATGGAACTCCGTTATCATAAATATCGTCGATTGCAGGGAAATGTGGGAAACTTGCCTCACTATCTGTGGCTACCGACTCCAAAGCTGGTAAAAGCCCATGTAGCACTGAGTTAAATGTCCTTGCATTGAACGTTGCCTCTTTTATGAATGAGAAGGCTTCATCCCGAGGTACATAAATGTCTGAGCTTCTTACTTCTGATTGAGGATCTACAGTTTTTCCAAACACCCAAGTTTTCATTTTCATGTTCATAACCATAAACATTAAACAAACAATACGTTTTCTTGCATTCAATAACTAACAATAGAAATGCGATATGGAAAAAGATTACCTTGCTGAGTACGTCCACGTCCAGTTCTACATCGCCGAGGATATGGGAATTGTTTACCCCCAAGCACTGGTCTTTTCAGCTCGTCGCTTTTGTCGGGATCGCCGAGATCATTGTAGACATCGTAATCATATATCCTCTCATGGTTCTCACGCTTTCCATGGCCATTTCCTTGCTTAGTCTTGAGGTCGTCTTCTCGAAACCTTTTTAGCCCCTCGGGCGTCTCCGATGGCAAGTATGACTGTCATCATGATGAAGCATAGTTAGGCACAGACAAGAGAAAAGAAAAACAGAACAGAACAAAAAGAGGAGTGTTTAAATTTGACCTTAGTGGTGAAGAAGACTCTGTTACTGTCGATCTCGGATTTAGAACTGATCCAAGAATTGCAGACGAAGTGTACAGGGCCAGTGGGAAGGCCATCGATGACAATGTCCTTGAGATATATCTCTCTGTGATGCTCATTCTCAACGAGAATAGCTCCAATTGCACCAAAATCTGGTGGAATTGTAAAATCTGTCTCGTATTTAACCTCACCAGCCTTTTGCTTGTCGTCTCTCTCTTTATGAGCATATTTTTTTATTCTTCCCTTCTCCAGTCCCGTATCTGAAACACAGTTTTGTTAATATGTTTGATAATGTTTTCTGTTTTCTACTTCTCTACAAAAGGAAATTAGCTCAAATATGTTCACTAATGATTTATTTATCTACCATGCCTGCAACAGTTACCAAATTACAACTCTCTTTTATTATATAAAAAAACTAATATAAAAGACATACTCCAACCTAGCAGCATATAAAAATGCATCGAATTTAGGAACAAAACTGCTCAAATCTAACTAATTAAAAACACATATAGCACAACTACCAGAATCAAGATCTCAAAACGGTATGTTGTGCTTAAAAAAAAAACATTATTCAAGTATAGGATTTGAATTGCATCATATATTCATCTTCAAGGTTTAAATTGAGGAAACTAAATTCATGATGACTAATCATTTTATTTTTTACTTTTGGTTTAAACCAAAATTAAGCCTATAAACACTATTGTATGTTTGTTTTATTATCTATTTTTTTTAAATATAAGCTAAATTTTAAAAACAAAGGAAAGTTTTTAAAAAGAAAATTTGTAATAAATAGTTAAAATATTTGCTATATTGGTAAATATAACAACTTTTAGGTTACGACTAAATATTTAATTATTTTACATTGAGTTTATAGTTGTTTTTAGAATTTTTAGTATTAAATAGAATAGTTACAGATTAGGACTTAAATATTTTGGAAAAAGAATAATGGTCTGAAAATTGAAAGAGCGGAGAGAAGGCGGCAGAAGGAAGAGGAAAGACAGGTGAGTACCGGAATCGATTTCAGCACTGACGAGCTGGAGAAGAAGTGATTTTCCCAAAAGATCGGCAATGTCATCAAGGCCTCGTTCCAAATATATCCCCCCGGTGGCTCGTTTCACCGTCACCACGGCTTTAGCAGAAACCGCCTTCTCCGACGCCGGACTCGCGACGGAGCTCTCTTTTACCTTTACGACGGGGAAGCGGG